ATTTGTAGCCAAGGTTAACTATTTTCCTAATGAATCACTTCTACTCAGAAAAGCTTGAGGTTTAATTATGAAAAATATGTCATTTTGCCCCTAGTTTTAAATACAAATCATGTCCTATTTGAAAGCACAGGAGTTTGTCTACATAACCCAAGATGTATTAGAAAGCTGTTCATACATACATCACTTCTTCATTATTATTCTGTAGAACCAATGCAACATTAAAATATGTCTGTAGAATCAGACATAGTTTCATTTTCCTGATTTTTGACAAAATAATGTTTCCCCTTGATTATTTCTAGCAATGTATAGAAGTAATAACGTAGCCATTTGTGAGAGAGGGGAAACCAGCTTTTTAAAAATAAACTAGAATGCATTATCAACCTCAACAAACTAAATACCTCTTGACTGTGCTGCTTATATGATGTCTGCTGTCAGTTGCCAATAGATACACCAGACATAGCCTTACCCTCAACAGGCGCCTAGGTGATCCAGAAATGAAAACATGAGGTTTTCAGCGTTTCATGAGTTATTCACATTTATGGAGTGATAGTTATCTATTAAGCACTTAGTTGAGTGTTGTATAATTAAAAATGAGGCAAATAGAAAAGGTCCTTAAGTTCTGGAATCAATGCTGTGATGCCATTTTCTCCCTTTTGGTTGTTTGAGAAAGATGGAATTTCACTATGCTACCCAGGCTTGCCTCAAATTTACAATTTTCTTGATCCTGCCTCCAAAGTGCTGGGATCACATGTGCACAGCTCTGTACCCAAAACTATGGAAATGACAGAAAAAATGTGGCTTCCTGAACAACCACCCAAGTTTCCTCTATAACACCGGGGCATCCACCTTTGGCCTACAGGCCTAGAATATCTGACAGAGTTTTCTGTGAAGCAGGAATTTTGAAGGGCTGTCCTACCTTGTCTTCATAAAGTTCAGCAGTCACTTTCTTTTGTGACCTGCTTGTCCAGTTTGGAGAGCATACTGTTAGCAGTTGAGGCAAAGGTGGTTTCTTTGCCCAGTGGATAACTTGGCCATATTCAAAGCAAACTCCATATGCAGGTTCTTTGATGTTCATCACCCTTTTCTGAAGTACATTGGTGCTGTCAGGAGCAGACATGTCTTACTGTTCTGAAAAGCCTTATGTCATTAAAACATTGTAAATGTCATATTCTGAAGGTCTCTGAAGTGTTTGAAGGTCATGATCTATTTGAAATATATCTCTGTATGACATTGAAAACATACCTAATGTAACTTCAAGTTTTATTGTTATAGGTGACTACTAACCTGAATTTCTTTATTATCCTAAATAGCTTTCAAGGACTAGCATTTTACACTACATTATTAAATGAGACTTATAGGTACAATACTTTAAACAAGAGTAGAAACATATACAGTATAACAAAAATAAACTTAAATTGGTATTAATAAACAAAAATCAATAGCAGTGTCAAATAATTGAGATTTGTGGTTGTTCAAAAGTAGACTGAACAATCCATCTTTTTATCTCATCATTTCTATACTATAAACCTGGAAACAAATAATGAGACCAACTTAAAAAGAAAAGATTCAGAAAAGTAAAATCAAAAGAGATTTGATTACTGGATACTGAGTCTGAGGGAGGGAAGAAAGACCTAATACACTATAGTTTGCTACTTGAAGATTGGATAATTTGGTTTTAGTTTCATCCACCGGTGGTAGGTAATGTTATTTACAAAAATGTGAAATGTTGGAGAGAGGATGCATTTGAAAAGAACTTTATAGTTAAATTATGGATGAATTTAATCTGAGGATTTCTCAAAAACTGACTTGGAATATCAACTAACCATTTAGAAACGGAAGAATGGTGCCTGAGCAGACGGCTCAGGAGTTGAGAGAGTGCTTGCTGCTCTTCCAGAAACCCTGTGTCTGTTCCCAGCACTCATGGCAGGCAGTTACAGACACGTGTAACTAGAGCTCCAGGGGATCTGACACCTTCTTCTGGCTCCTCACTCACACGGATTATACTCACACAGACAATCCACATAAGTAAACAAAAATAAATCTATAAAAATATGAAGGAAGTGAAATATAGAGCTATCAGGTGATAGAGTCATGGGAAGTGTGAGCCTGTATTGGTGTCCACAATGGCCAATACAGTATAGTTTTTCATAAGATATAAGAGTCTGGAAACATTTTCTGAAGTTAGAGGGCTGGATCATAAGAATAGGTAAACATAGAAAAAACATGAAGTAAAGGGTAAGATATACTAATGTATACATAGGTTGCAATGTGAACTGAAGCAACCAAGAAATACCTCTCAGCTTCCAGATAGCGGGAAATCCCATGTTGTTCCTGCAAGCCCCTATCCAGGAAAGAAACAACATGTGCATCTCCGAGCTCTCTTCCCTTTTCTCGGTGCGTGTACCTTAAAGTTTGCCCTATTTCTGCAGGTTTCCTTCTCATGGTTTCAAAATGTGTCATGTTTATGCCTTAGTTTTAGCAGAAAATAGATTCCATGTTTACATGTAAAGGTTTAGCAAAACACAAGTCATTCATTTTTCTGGACAACAAATGCCCAGAATAGAGATATGTTGATCCCTCTCATTGTCTTCAGAAACTAGGGCACACTATCTTAATATAATTATATTACACCTTCAGAGTGAGGACCAATCTTATGACCGAACAAACTAGAATATTGGGAAGAGGTTAGGACACCTAGAAGAATCCAGATTTAATTTCATACTCTAGAGGAAACTCCTGTGTTCTGAACAGAAGGGTGCCATGAAATCAATGTCCTAAGGTGTTCAATCTTTTTTTTTCTTTTCTTTTTTATTTATTTTATATAACCAAGTCCATTTAAATTAAAACAAACATTTATAGACAATATTTGGGAATTTGGGTGTCATTCTTTACAAACTACTTCATGCTGGCAAGGGGCGCTGTCATGGGGGATTCTGAGAAGATGCAGAAATCCTAGCTGTAGTCTATAAGGCTGCTTGGTCCAGCTGTTTTGAATGTAGGATCACCTGGTACTCTGTTTCAGGCGGTCTGGCTTGATCAAACCACATTAGTCAGGAAGGAATCCACAGCTTTTCATTTTCTATGGAAACAAAATCTTAAGACAATTCTAGGACATGCCACAGTGCTTAAGAAAAGTGAGAAATGTGTTGAACAGTCTTGGCAACCATCAAGGGAAGAGAAGGTGAGTCCTTTGCCTACCCCGAGAAAGGAAAAGGAATGAAAGGAAGGCAGTAGTGAAGGGAAACATTGAAAAAGATTTTCAATGAAAGAATTCACAGGGCTGTCAAGATAGTAGGAAAGGACTCTGAGGTGAAAGTTCAAACCCTTTCAGTAAGGGTCTGAATAATGTAATAGTTTGGGCACCGGGCCAACAATGAGCCCTTACCTGTCAACTTCAATAATGGATTTCATTCTTCCAAATCTAGCATAAAGTTCTATTTTCCACTCCATTTTGTTCTAAAAAGCCTTCCTTCATTTGTGGCTCATCAGTCCACATGTGTACATCCTGCCTAGGAGTTGAAATGAAGAAAAATACCTACCACCATCCTTGCACAAAATGGTACCTTCCCCTAATTACAGACCATGTGTTAAGGAGTACAGAGGAAGCCATCACTACAGTCACTGCAGAGCACATGCTTAGCAGTATGGGGAGGATGTTTGTCTGCCTGAAAGGCTTCTCCTAACAAGGAGTAGAATTTTTAATGTATTATTTTTATCTTTATTGGTTTTATTATTATTTTGCTAGAATGTATGTTTGTATACCACATACATTTGTGCACCACATACAGTATCTGAGAAGATCTGAAAATGGTATCAGATACCCTGGAACTGGAGTTACCAGTAGTTGTGAGCCATTTTATAGGTGCTGGGAACTGAACCTGGACCCTCTGGAAGAGCAGCCAGTGGTTGTCACCTCTGACTCATCTCTCTAGCCCCAGACCTGGTGGTATTAACCAGAAGCTTTCCAAAATTAGTAGGATTGGCTCTGCTGCTCATCCATAGGTGTCCATATCATTGCTTCTCTGGAGTTTCATATTAAAGTAGCAAGATGGCTACCTATCTCCAAGTATTCTCTCCATAGTATCAAGAATCTTTGTACTAATAAATTAATCAAAATTCTCCTAGTATTTTCATTCAGTATATTTCACATTGCTAATGGTGTATGACATGGTCATGTCATCTTTCACAGGAAAGAAGAAGGTAGCTGAGTGGTGTTAGGGTCTCTTCCAGGAGAAGATTTGTCATGCAAAATCTCCTGTGCTTGATGAACAGTGTGTACTTGTCACTTTGCTTACTATCTTGTATTTACCTGTACTTGTTGCTTCTTTTCTCACTTTAGAAAATGTAAATGGTTTATTATTATCAATGTCTGGAAGTGTTTTATTCTCCTTTTCTATTAATCCTTATTAACCTCTGTTCAATTTAGTCAACAAAGACAGTATAGTTTTGGTTTTCCTGAGTAAGAAAACATAAACTACCACATATATGAACTAGGAAGGATTTTTATCCTTGTGTGTGCCTAGTTATCTTTGCAAGCATTGCCAATATAAAAGAAAACAGCAAAATTACCAGATGATTCCATGGGGAACTAGTAAAAATATCCCATCTTTTAGTAAAAATATCCCATCTTTATGTTTTATGGGATATTATAGACTCTTGTGTAAAGATGTATTTTCAAGGGACCTCATCAAACTTGGCTTAGAAACTTAGTATAAATTCATCACCCACATGTCAAAAATAAAGTTAGTAATTATCCCACTTAATTTATTGTTTGAAAAAAATAGTCAGTTACCACAGTAGGAAGTGCAGTCGACTCCTCTGTAGTTGGAGTCACTCTGTGACACTGACTTCACAGTATCATGAAATTTTAAATGACAACTGAGCTAAATCTGGGAACAACAAGCTTTGGCCAAGTTTAAATTTAGTAACACTGTTAGTTTACTGAGACTAACCTTGTCCATGGCAGACCCTGGTAATTGTAGATTGCATGTGACCAACTGTCCATTTCTCTGCTCTGTTTAGAGATAACCAGGCCTCACTGGCTTAAGACTGGTGGCGTCTGCTGCCTGCCTCAGGAGTCTCAAAGGCCAGCTGACACCCTCAGAAACAAGACAATCTACTTTGCCATGATCTTAGAAGTCTCTCCTCCATACATATAGAACTTTCTGGATGAGCATAAAGATGTGAAGGTAAGTGAAACTTGAGTATAACTTAATTACATCAAATGTTAATTCTCTGTTATTGAAAAACAGACAAATTAAAAGCAATTAAATTTAAGACAAATATGTACTTTTGTGCACTCCTCCCCCACCCCCCACAGCTAAACTAGGACCTAAGTGGAGCTGGACTTACAACTGCTGAAAGCCACGCAGGGCAAGTAGGTTAGGATGCAGAGGAAGCAGGGATCAACCAAATTTTCTCTTCACACGACCTCACAAACAGTTGTCCTAAAATCCAGTGTGTACAAGAGTACTGGCCCCTTGGAATATTCCAGAGGCTTAGATTCCAGGGGCTGGGAAACATTTCACCTTTGGTAGCACTCCTGATGCACACACTCTGAGGCCTTTAAGAAACTCTGAAACTGGAATTGGAAGTCATATAAGTTTCATTTATAAAGTTGATGTTATCCTTGGGCTTTTATGTATTTTCTTTTACTAGTAAGAATAAGTCAAGAATGACTTCAGCACAGAAGTGATAGATTAGCATTTCCTTTTTATCTCCCCAATTTGAATTATTAATTCTCATTAATATTCTTTTTCAATTTCACTAAGATGAGCTAATTTGCATCTCCCTTTCACACAGAAAGCACCCCCTTACAATCACTAGCTGCTACTCTGTCTGGTATTTAGGGTTATTGGCTCTAGTTATAGAATATCTAGAAGGCAAAAACAGAATAGTAAGCCCTTTGTGGTAGTTTGAATGTGTTTGTCCCCCATAAGCTCACAAAAGGTGGCTCTATTAGGGGTGTCACTTTGTTGGAGGAAGTGTGATCTTGTTGGAGGAGGCTGGGTGACATGACCCGACCCCCATAATCCAGACCTTGAGGCTGAAGAGCACACCTTTAATCTGGGCCATGCCTTCTGTGGGAAGTTTGTCTCTGTAGGGGTGGGCTTTGAGGTCTCTTCTCAAGCTTCACTCAAGTGGATTTCCTGTTGCCTCTGAGTCAACATGCCACACTCTCTGCTCCATAACCATGTCTGTCTGCACACTGACTATGATGGACTGAACCTCTGAAACTGTAAGCAAACCACCCTCAATTAAATGCTTTCTTTATAAGAGTTGCCATGCCAGGTGGTGGTGGCTCAAGCCTTTAATCCCAGCACTGGGGAGGCAGAGGCAGATCTCTGTGAGTGAGAAGCCAGCCATTGTCTACAAAGCTACACAGAGAAACCCTGACTCGAAAATATAAGAAACAAACAAACAAAAAGGGTTGCTGCAGACATGGTGTCGTCTCACAGCAATAGAAAACCCTGAGACATCTTTCCAGAGTTGCCTAGGCATTCTTACATACTGAGGGCTCCATCTTTTTGCCTTTGAAAGCTCAGGTTTTAATTTAAAAGGAATATACCACCTGATATTTTATGACAGGTTATGTGTGTCTTTGGTGACTGTCACTTTTCTGCTGTGACACTTCATTTACCGACTTTGTTTTCATTATTATTATTATTATTTGTGGTTTTTAAGTTTATAAAAGACTTGCTTTGTATATTCCAGCTACAGAAGTGGCCCACAGGGACACACACGGATTTAAAGTTACGATGAGTCCCTGAAGGCTTAGCAGTACTGTATTCATAGCGAGGAGTGTAACTTTGTAATTTTGTAATCAAGGCCTTTGACTGGATTTCTGTGGGGCTGCCCCCACCCCCCACCCCACCCCCTTGTCAGTCTCTATGCTTGCTCACACTTGCTAGACTTCTGGTCTGTAAGATTTGAAAAGGAAAAGGAACTATCACGGAAACATGCCTTGGCTACAGTCACCAACCACTGGTGTCACACATAGAACATTGAGTGCATTTATATGCAGAAGGGGATGCAGTGATTCACAAGTGATAAAACTACTTACAGAGTTGTATTAACTAAATTAATAACTTCATTTGTGGTTGGAGTTGTTCTCAAGATTATCTCGTCTGAAGATACAGCTGATACTATGCAACATGAAAATCCTAAAATGAGTGAAATATACATTTAGAGCTGGATAAGGTTTTAAAATTTTATATCATAGTGTTTTAGTACTAACCTCTGTCATATTTCAGTTTCAAAAAGGTGCACCGACCTTCCTGTTTTTCTTTCCTCCCTTCTCCCTCTTCGTTCCTCTTACCTTTGTTCTAGCAGAGGAGCAGGTGAGTCATGTCCTCATGTGGATTCTGACTGTCATAGGCATATTTATCAGTGTTCTTAAATTACAGTCCCTAAAGAAAACTTTCCAGTCTCAGGACCACACGTGAGGTAGTTTTGTTGCTCAAAGAAAGTAAATGACAGAAACGTTAGGGGATCATAATGGCATAAAAAGGAGGAGGGAGACATGGCTGAGCTCCTAGAGTCTGTATTTTGGAATACAAAAGTCTAATAGGAAGAACAGTAAACAACCACGTGGTCTGATGTGACTGACCAAGGAGAAACTCGCCAAGCATTTTGCAATAATGTTATTTGGGTAAGGATAGGAGTATTAAACCCAAGAAGTGAAATAAGTATCACATATTATCAATGTGGTTTCATCTAAAGCGAGGAATATTTTCAGTTGGACAGAAGAATCTTTCACCTTCACCGTCCAGAACGGAAAACTGGTTAGCTTTACTCAGGCTTAATTTGCTTGGAGCTATGTTGGTGGAAGAGGCAAGGATTACCCAAAAGGCAGCGCTTTAGAAGGGCAAAGCCCAGAAGGACCAAACATGAAAGGAACAAGGGGGATGTTAATGTTGTTATGAGCGTGTATAATAAAGAAGCCCCAAGACATGTAGAGATATTGAAATGTACTTATTGGCCTCAATATGCTGAGAAGTCATTAAAAAGTATATAGTAAATTATTAACTTAAAATATGCACAATCTGTGTAAGCAAATACAGGAAGTTATAAAAGCCTGTTTTGCCATGGTCCTATTGCCCTATTATTTTCTGATGGAAATGCATAGGGAGATAGTTGAAAGGAATAAAAATAACATTGATAGTTACTGTCAACTGGCAGAATTATATATGATGTTTTATTGTTTTTCCAGGGTTATAAGCAGTCTTACTAATGGAGCTATTATTATTTGCACATATTATCGCTACAGAATAGCTGGTGACACTCTCTCCATGGATGTAGCACACTGTGGTCCTGGTATCCTCTGGCATGCTCTACGCTGTCTTTCTTCACATCACTGGACCTCCCTTCCTCTACCCAAATGACCCCCTTCTGGTTTTCTACATTCAGAAAGCCTATATTTAACATACGAGAAAACATGCAATGTTTGTCCTTCAAAGTCTATTTGTGTTGCTTAGTGTGCTGATCTCCAGGTCTACTAAAAGAAATATCCTTAATGTAAACCTTAAAATATTTTAAAGGGCTAGAAAAACATTCAGTTATTTGGGGTAAATGACATTTTAGAAATGTGAGGATGGGGCTGAAGAGATTGCCCAGTGGTTAAGAGCACTGGCTGCTTTTCTTAAAGAGCTGGGTTTGATTATATGGGAGCTCACAACAGTTTCTTAACTCTAGATCCAAACACATTGATACCATCTTCCAGCCTCTATGTGCACTTCCTGCATGTGGTACACAGGGGCAAACCACCCATATGAGCAAAAAAAAAAATTAAATAAAAAAATTGATATGACAAAATCTAGTTTTTTTTTTAAGTAGCCTCAAATGAGGACTTGTATCTCATACTACATTTTGCTGAGTGTGAGAATAATATTTAAGGTGGAGTAATCTTTAGATGTAATTCTCAATCTGTGGTATCTTACAAGAGAGTAAAGTTCCACTTGCTTTCCTCTTCATTAAACACTGGTAATTTCAAGTTATAACAACCAAGGAAATGTTCCTTATTGCCTGTTTGGGTAATTCCAGCATGCTTTCCAGAATTTGCTAGCCGGATTGATTCTTCCATTTGGAGGATAAGTGTGTGTGTGTGTGAGAGAGAGAGAGAGAGGGAGAGAGAGAGAGAGAGAGAGAGAGCGCGCGCTCATGCACGCCACAGTGCTGTTGATGTCTTTGTTCTTAAGTCTCGAGTTGTAACACATGCCACCATTATTGCTACCAGCTGCAGTTGGCCTAGGGTTTTGTTCATTCTATTTGTATCCGAAGTAATCACCTCCTTAGTTTACTAACAGTATTTGTTAATGGATTTTTGAAGCCAAACTGGTGTATTGAACAGAGAATGTGGCCTATAACTTCAGCATAAGCTAGTGACATTTGGAAATAGTGGTAGAATTTGACTCCCAACCTGTAACCCCAGTCCTAGGAGATCCAAAATCTCAGACCTCCCTGGTCACCCACATCTATGTGCACAGACATGGGAAGTCTTCAAAGTCTGGCATATCATTTGAAGCAGGGCCCAGACCCTTCCCTCATGTGTCTCGGCTGAGAGAGTATCCCTCTGTGTGGAATGGGCTCCCAAAGTCCATTCATATACTACGGATAAATACTGATCCACTACCAGAGGCCCCATAGCCTGCCCAGGGAGTCTGGGTCTGTCCAATGCTGGTTTCCCAGCTATGAGACTGGAGTCCCTGAGCTCCCCTTGTTCAGTTAAGCGGTTTCTATGGGTTTCTCTAGCCTGATCTTGACCGCTTTGCTCATTACTTCTCCCTGTCTGCAACTGGATTCCAGGAGTTAAGCTCAGTGTTTAGCTGTGGGTGTCTGTTTCTGCTTCCTTCAGCTACTGGATGCTCTAGGATGGCATATAAGGTAGTCATCAATCTCATTATTGGGCAATGGTATTTAAGATAGCCTTTCCATTATTGCATAGATTGTTAGTTGGGATCATCCTTGTAGATATCTGTACATTTCCCTAGTGCCGGATTTCTCTTAAGACCTATAATGGCTCCCTCTATTATGGTATCTCTTTGCTTGCTCCCCTCTATTTTTTTCCTAACTCAATCTTTCTTCTCTGCCATGCCCACCTCTCCCCTCCTAACTCCCTCTCCCCAGTTTTATTTTTCTAAGATTTATTATGTATACAGCATTTTTCCTGCACTCAAAAGGAGGCCCCAAG